CAAACCTTTTCTGTTAGATAACCTCTCTTTTCCTCCTGCCAACTTCTCACTGTCAAATTAACCAACCTCTCTTGCACACGTTATCAATGTTATATATCACTGTATATCTGTGTTTCATGAAAAAGCATCAGGTAATGTTTTGAAAATGTTTGTTTGTCTTACAGAAGAGTCCTTTACCAGGTACACGAGTGCTTTATATGGGTGTGGCTTTCAAACCAAACCTGCTGCTGTGGGCTTTGCTGAGACTGTCGGTTTAGATTTAAAGATGGTTGAGGTCCGATGCTTTGGCTGTGTGCTGTTTAGTCTCCATTTTATCTATCTGTGTGTTCATCTGTTCTGAGACAGATTCTAGAGATGTAAAATAAGGACGGCTGTGTGGTGTTTTCTCAGGGCTTGATAAAGGTTTTCTTGCTAGCCTCTGTAGCATGTGAGCTATATTAAAATTGAAAAAAGCTTTAGTTATTTTGCACCTGACTGCACTGTGTGAGCTTGGACTTAAGCTGGAGACAGTGGTTTGGATGCTGTTTGATCCCTTCCTGATGCAGCACCAGCACTTGTTGCTTCTTAACTCTTTTTGCTGGGAGTATTTTCTAAAGGATGACAGAGGCTTTTCTAACTAACTGGTGATGGGTGCATGATTCCAGACAGAATTGGACCAGCTTCTCGTTTTTAGCCAGCAACCTATTATCTTTGCTGAAGTTTGCAGATTTTAAGCTTTGGCTTAGCTGTTTGAATTGGTCTCGTCTCTTCCTGACTTCACATTAAAATATTGAAAATCTGCAAAAAGGTGTTAAATATTGCTTTGTAGGACCCATATGTTGCCCTGTATAATCTTTAAGAACATGTAGCGATTTTCTTTTGTTCATAATCTTCTTCAGATGTTTACTGTAGCATTCTTGGACAAACACAAAGGTGAGATTTATGCTTTATTTTTAGATTATGTAACAATTAAGCATTACTACATATAATCTATCATTTCAAGATTCATTGATAGACTGTAGTTCATTGTGAGAGTGGTTTCTATACTCCCAGCAGCTGGATTTGTTTGCTGTCAAATGATTAATCAAGGCCTCATTTAAACTCTCTCCATGAGAGCTGCGACAGTTTTGAACTGATTTAACTCGATGCCCGCCCCTAACTTGTTATGTAATCACGCTTGTGTGGTTATGTTATTAAGCCTTTGAAAAACACCTGCAATATTCTCTGTGTTTTAGACCTTGATTTGTGTTTGTCTGTACACAGGGTGCAAATGAGCCAGGAAACTGCACTCATTAAGATGTGCCTGTTTAAATGAAGGTAAAATAAGCATGCTGTGTACCAGCTTGTGTGAATAAGGATAATAAAAGGAGCCAGGGAGGAAAACAAAATCCCTAATAAGGAGAGCAAAGGCTTATTTTCTAGTGCTTATTTTTAAAGGTAAGAAGCAAAATAAATGTCCTGGAGAGATGCCTTTCTGTTCTGTAATGTAAGAAGGACTGCTCGCTTGGTTTGGCTTGAGGAAAGGTGTTAAGATGGCTGCTGTGTTATTTGGTTAATTTAATGCCTAATATTGCCTTTGGAAGTGGGACTTTTGTATTCCTAATATTTCTCAAAGTTAACAATATCTTGAACTGATTTAATTATTCAGTTCTAATAGATTTTATAAAATTATTAGACGAGGTTTTGTGGAGTCATGCACTGACAAGTACATACGGGGTAGCACATCTTTAATTGAACAGCTTCTTCAGCGGTGGATCTGTGGGGAGTGAGCTCAGCGGCGCAGAGCTATAATTTCTCCCTCACCATCAATAACTCCCTCCTTTCTCCCCCCAACAGAGTCTTTGCCTGATCAAACGTATAAGGATGAGAGCGACTCCGCCACCCTGAGACAGACCCTTCCAGATTTAACACCTGACGACCCCTCCGATGCCCCGGCACTTCCTGCCGAAGAAGACTCCGCCCTTGTCCCCGCAGACGCAGCTGAGGGCGAGGAACCCGCTGACGCTTGTGACCAGGAGGGAGAAGAGTCTCCCAGCAAGTCACCCTCCAAAAAGAAAAAGAAGTTCCGCACTCCTTCCTTCCTAAAGAAAAACAAGAAAAAGACTGCAGAGTCCTAGATTGGAGAATGTTGGATCGGTCCTCACGGCTGGCTGCTGCCTCTTTCCATTTCAGCTTTTTGTCTGCTACCATTGCACCCTTGGAGCAAGCCTCAGTAACACACTCAGTTATGCTTTTTGTTGTTTTGATATCATTTGTCGCGGGCTTATTAACCTATTTTTCCTCGTTACTGTGTGCCAATTTTGTATACAGTGTAAAAATGATTGATTGCAAAGGTTTTTAATTATTAGAGGCTTTTTAAATTGTGAGTGATGCATTCCGTCTTGTCCACTCCATCTGGCCTTTGATGCATGTATTTTACCACAGGCCCAAACACTAAATGTGAGGTTTAAGGGTTTTATTGCCCTCATTTTTTTTTTAAAGAGTAATACTAAACTGTTGTAACCACTAGAATGTATTGGAATTGTATCAACAACAAAAATGTGTCTTTTAAAAAACAGTGAATTCAGAAGAAGCTTGTGCTCTCATTTAACTGGTGGTACATTTAGACAGCAAGAACTACAAATTACATAGTGCTAATTTTACCTCTGCAGCTGTGCACCCATGTAATTACATGTTAAAGGGCCAGGAGAATTACAGTTGGGTTGTTAACAGTTCATTACTTATGGGGAAATGCAGTCATACAAAGTCTATAATAATGTCTCCATAATCCTGTTTTTCATTCAATCATCCACAAGCTGAATCCCATCTGGGTGTCAACTCAATCTTCTACCCTAAAGCATTTAACACAGCCATAGCTTACAGGTATGTTGTAGAGTGCTTTAGATATGTTATATGATGTGGAAGTTGGTTTTAAAATGTCTCCAAACTGATTATTCTGCGGTGCTGCAAACCTGCACATGGAAATGTTTGAGAGATTTTTAGCATTGGTCACAACAACGTGTGAGTCATCCCGGGAAGCGTCAGCAAGCATTGTTGATTATTCCAAGGGATGATTATATATTTACTGTTATTCTTTAGTATGAAGGAATGTGTAAAAAATAATTCTCTCACTCAATGTTTTTCATTTATTCTAATTATATAAGCCTGCATTTGTTTTACTTTTGTCTTTTGGTTTATCCCCTTCTCAGAAAGGGGCAGAAAAGCGTGAATGTGTGAAATGTCAGTTGTTTTCTTTTGTTTTTTTGTTGCTTTTTCTCAAGTATTTTCACTATGATTGCTGTGAGGGAGCACTGTGAACCTCTTTTGTAAACCACTGTCTTGGGATTTGGACCACATGTACTATCATTAACATAGATACAGTTGCTACAGAACATGTAAAACTATTATGAAGCTGCATGATCAATCGTATATCAGAACTATCAACCTGGACTCTCCTGTGTAAAACTCCACTATGAGCAAATAGACATCGAATGCCTGTGTGTTTCCAGCTGCAGTATAGACAAAATGTACACTGGAGAAGCATTTTTTTTGATGTCACTGATGTATAATCAATAATGGTATCACAAATGATCTGTGCTTAAGGTTGCAAGGCATTTATACGAAGGCCAATCTCCATGCATTGCTTCCTAACTTGTTTTTATTCTTCCTGTTAAGTGACTGTTTAGTCTTCAGTCTATCTAACCAGTGGTGACAGGAAGCTTCTACTAATCTGAAGCGCTGAATAAACCTTTGTTCACGACAGATGGTGCATCTACACTATTGAATACAAGCTGAGAATATCTAACTCATGAAGGTGTGCATGTGTAGAGTGCCTAGTGTGTGTGCTGTCCTTTAAGTCACTAACTACCCTTTTATTTCAGTTATATTTTAGCTTTAGTGTGCTGATAACAAAACTAAAAGTCATTGTAGACATGGTTTTCATCCTAGTCTGTTTTTTTCTTATATTAAATATCACATCTATGCTGATTTTGTTCTCTTTGTCTGAGCTACTTCCAATTGAAATGTTTCTCATCATTATACCGTCTACAGACATAATACTTCCACCTCTCTTCTCTCATAGTTCTGGCTGTTTTACAACCATGAATTAAAACAAACACTTACCTTGAAAATCAGCATTGTGTGATTGTCATTTATAAAAAATCTCTGGAAATGTAGAATAATACTGTGAGCCATCTCCATCAGTGCTCAATCATATGTGAGTCAACATTCGAAGTATATAAAGGGGAATCATGCTGGATAACTGGTGAGTTAGTCAAATAAATAGGCCTATACATCAAGAATTTCTAAAATAATAGAAATAAATCATTTATTTTTTTCAACTGTTTATTAGTTGATGGAAACACAAATACATGGGATTCAAAACAAATCTTAAGTTGACTAAAAAAATATATAAATATATATGTATACTTTCATTAGGTATAGTTTTTATTTACCATAATGTCATGGCCTGGTGTGATATTAATACAGTATGGCCACTGGGCTTATTGAATCTCCAGTTAGCATCTCTGTGCGGCTGTTCTTGAGCCAAATGCTCACATCATCATGCTAATATGCTAGGCTAACATCATGTTCACCTGGTTAAACACTTTGTTGCAGTGTTGCATCTCCTGATTATCTGTCTCTATTTATGTAATGTAATATTAATATCCAGTTTACTCATGGGTGGGCCACTTCAAGTGCATTGGACTGAAATAATGAGTTTTCCAGTTGGCAGAGAAGAGATTGATAATGGATGTAAAGGTTATCAGTAAAGTGTATTCAGTGGTGGAAATGGATACTCAGGTCTTCTATATAAGTGGCAACACAACAGAGTAGAATACTATCTCACAAGTAAAGGTCATACATTCAGTAAAAGTACAAGAAAAAGTTAAAGTACTTATTATGAAATGGTACATGAACGTGTAACCTTCCCTTTAACTACAGCAGTAAATGTAGCCTACGTAGGTCCTTGTATATAATTTCCATCGCTGGGGGCGCTGTGGGGAATCTGCGTCACTCTTATCTGCTTCCTTCTTGTTTTCAACTTTGACCTGAATCTTGTGCACGCTGGAAATGGAAACAACGTGGAGAGTAAACGTTTAAAGTGTTGTTTATTACATTTCCAGTTGGCTGAGGCTTATTGCCTCATGTTTTCTTCCCTCTGGATTTAATAACTCGACTCCTCAATCCGGCTGGAAGGTAAACGCTGCGTCTGTGTCCGTTTGTTTACAAGCGGTTGACTCCTCAAATGAAGCTAGCTAGCTATAAAGTAGCTCCAGTTTTTGCATTTTTGCTCGTATTACTTGATATCATCCCATGTAATACTTCTGCTTCTATGGATATGTTACAGGCACCTATTAAATGTATTGTTAACCAACATGCCCCCAAGGCTAGCTGTTAGCTAACGTTAACCAGTGTAACTAGTAACCAGACTTAACTCATGCAGGAGATATGTGTTATAGCAGCAACAACTCAAAATGTCATTTAATTTAATACTTAATTGTTTATATAATCAGACATTTAATTCAGTCCCTCAGATGATCAGGGTCGTAAATGTCAGTGTTGTCAATTATAAATAAATTGTATCTGTTACAGATGGGGAAGGTGCCAAAGAAGAGGAGCATGGCTGACAAGGTTCGCAAAACCAAGACCTCTACAGAGATCAAAAACAACCCCTTTGAAGTGAAGATCAACAGGAAGAAATTTGACATTTTGGGGCAGAAATCCAAGCATGATGTGGGTCTGCCTGGTGTGTCTCGATCCAAAGCCATTAATAAGGTAAGAGGAAATCTCATGTTATATTTCGTACACATTAACCAGCTTCTCCCTCTGCAAGGAACTATAGAACCAAAACTAATTCAGCTACCTTCTGTTTCTACACTCATATACACACCATTAGTGATTTTTACAGCACTTCATATAAACTAAGAACATGTTTAACATAAGCTGCATAACACAAGATCAATAGCATATTTTTATATAATTCATTTGGTCTAGAGTGTTTGGTTAGTTATTTGCCCGAGTGAAAAAAATAAACAGTGAGATTTTAAATGAGGGATAATATATTTCAGATGTTTACTCGGAGGAACAAAGGTTTGGTGTTCATTCTACAAACAGAGAATATTCTGCAGTCTGGTAAAATGATATATAAATGAAAGTTCTTCTACTGTAGCACTGTATCTGTCAGCAATGTTGGGTCACAGCTCATCATCCATTTAACACTTTCTGTGCTGTGAAGCCTGGTGCTCACAGTATCATGCTGAGAGAGGGATTCTCTGCACGAAAGAGGAAAGAGAGCTTTGCAGGCACTAAGAAATTAAAGTGAGGTTTAAAGTTTAGGCTGCACACTCGATTCAATGCTGTTATTATTTATGTTTTTGTATGCATCTATTTATTGTTTCTCTGCTTGTCAGGTCTGATCAGTGAAGCATGAACATTCTTACTCAAAGAGGACATTTCTGTAATGTTTTATGGATATAAATCACATGCAATTTTTGTTTTGGATCTGTAGAGAAAAGACACCCTCCTGAAGGAATACAAACAGAAGGGCAAGTCCAGCAAATTCATTGACAGACGCTTTGGGGAGTATGACACCAATATGGCACCAGAAGACAAAATCCTGCAGAGGTTCGCCATGGAGAGACAGGTCAGTGATGTCATGATGTGCATTTAGTAACATTACTGCCTAAGGTCCGTTTGTCCCTACCGCTTCTGTTCCTTTTGTAACTTTTGAAATGTAACAGGATTAATCATTACTCTCGCAACAAATGTCACTATGTTTACCACACTCTCAGACAATCTTTGTTTTTTTGTTCAGCGTAACCATGACAAGAAGGATGTGTACAACCTGAACGAGGAGGAGGAGTTGACCCATTACGGCCAGTCGCTGGCTGAGATGGAGAAATTCAATGACAACGTGAATAGTGATGATGAATCAGAAGAGAAAGGTCTTCTTTCAGGTGAGCATTTCTGCTAACACCAGATGTTCAGAGCTGCAGTTGTTTGTGAAGAAGCTTATAATTATTCAGCATCTGATTGTTTGTGTTTACTTCTTCAGTCAAGCCTGCCATGGTCAAACCTTGTCAATATTTGTACAGAAATCTTTGTGTTGCAATTTAAAAACTAGAAACATACATATAGCAACTTTATATGATTGCAACTTAATTCTATTTAACGTAGTGGTTGTTAATTTGAGGGTTAATCGTTCCCAGCCACCAACTGGATGTTATAAGCCATGTTATAGAGAGCTAGTTCATAATAGTGACACTATTTCTCTTTCTCATCTAGCCGAGCTGACTGCCTCCCACTTTGGAGGAGGGGGTCTCCTCAGAAGGAAAACATCAGGGGACCAGGAGGGGGGGGAAGAAGGAGCCCCGAGGGCCAAATCCAGACAAGAGCTGATTGAAGAGCTCATCCAGAAGTCCAAGCAGGAGAAGGTGAGCCGAGAACATGAACTGTGATCAATTAGTTTCACAATGACCTTTTCATCCTGTTCAACATTGACATGACATTGACAAACATAGTTGCTTTTACGTCTTGCTTCTGTAAAAAAAAAAAAAAAGTGCAGCACATCCACAACTGGAAATAGTCCAAAATAAAGACACCATTTACCCTTGTTTGTTTTAATTTTGGCAAAAGGCTGTTGTTTAAGGGAAGTAAATGCATTTGTAATACAAATGAATGAGTATTTATAAGCTAACTGCTTTTTAAAGGTTAATTAGTAGGAACCAATGATTAATCAACAAGCTAGGGAAGTTTGGAGATACTGACACTTTTTTTTGGTTTTGTTTTTTAATGGGAGTTATTAACAGTAACACAAATATATAAAGCGCATCCCATCAGCCTTATATCTTAAAGACCTTAACTTCTTCCATTTGTATTCAGCGAGACCGACAGGTGCAGAAAGAGGAATCGCAGGTGCTGACGGAGAAACTGGATCACGACTGGAAGACCATCCAGGCTCTGATGGTGAAGAAGATTCCCAGAGCAGAACGTGTCGAGGAGGAGAAGCCCAAGGTACATTTCCCCACTGGGACAAATAAAAGAGATCTTCCTTTGAAAATGTATGTTCCACCATGAAATGACCTGAAAGATGTCAGTGGCAGAGCCTGATACTTCGTTGTTCTCTCTCCGTTGTGCATCTCCAGTTGGAACAGTATGACATGATGGTCCGAGAGCTCGTGTTCGAGATGAAGGCTCAGCCCTCAGAGAAGCTGAAGACCCCCGAGGAGGTCGCCCGGGAGGAGAGGGAGAAGCTGCAGAAACTAGAGGTATTTATCTTAGACAGCTGTTTTGTCATACTTAATACTTTACGATAGGGATGTCCCGATCACCTTTTTTTGCTCCCGATCCGATTCCGATCATTTGATTTTGACAATTTGCCGATACCGATTTTTCCTGATCCGATCTTTATGCAATGCATTAAGAGAAAAAAAGCATTCAAGTTGTCCCTTAAGGTTATTTTTTTATTTAAATTGGATATTCTATCCAGCATGGATATAGCTTCTTTCTTTCACAGCAGCATTGGATCANAAGTAAGTTAGAATTTTTAACACTTCCGGTTCCTTCGACAAAAAGCAATGCAATTTCTCCATAGGATTTTGGAAAATAGCTCCAAATAAGGTCTGTGTTTGACACAAATTGAAGAGACAGATCACGTTTTGTTCTACGACATTAAATACATCAGCAGTGACCCACTGGTGATTTCTGAAGAGTTTAAAATAAAACGTTTTACGTCATTACACGTAAACACTCCCGCTAAGTTTGTTTGCCCTGTTCAGCTTGAAAGCAAGTACCTGCGCTCTTGCAAACTGGGGGATGCTGAGGGGGCTGCAGCACCCCCATCTGCGAGGCTCCACTAGCACCCGCAAAAACCTTCATAACACACTAGGGGACGGGTAATAACAGGAAAAGCATGGCATGGGACCTTTAAGAAACGTTTATCTGACCGGCTTCTTCTCTATGATAACATGGACAGAAGCTAATGGTATTTGGAGCCACTGACCAAAGTGACAGCCATAACATAAATGCTCACCTGAATCAAGGTGTTGACATTCATACATTTAGTTTGTTAGTAGGTTAACATTNTAGAGATGTCCCGATCCGATCACTTGATCGTGGATCGGAGCCAATCACGTAAATCCCGATCCCCGATTTTTTTCCTCCCGATTCCGATCTTTTGAAAATCACGTGATTGGCTCCGATCCACGATCAAGTGATCGGATCGGGACATCTCTACTTTACGATAGTTGTTCTAATACATTTCCTTTGCTCTGTTTTTCTCCAGGCGGACCGTCTGAGGAGGATGATGGGAGATCAGGTCATGGAGAGTTCACAGAGTCAGACTCACATGTCAGCTGATGACCTCAACGACGGCTTCATCCTGGATAAGGACGACCAGAAGACCCTTTCTTACCAGGTAAGGGACAACGCAAAGCTAGAAGAAGGGTTTCTTTGATAAAGAACCAGTTTATTTCTGGAATATTCTTCACCTTTGTTCTTTAAAGGTTAATACAGAATGTGATTTTAACTCATTCATTTTGTGTCCAGGATGGAAAATGGAACATTGAAGAGGAGAAAGGGGAAGATAAGGATGGAAAGGGAGAAGAGGGAGAGGAGGAGGAATCAGAGGCAGAAGAGGGAGATGAAGAAGAGGAGGAGGAGGATGATGATGAAGAGGAGGAGGAGGAGGAGGAGGGCAGTAGTGAAGAAGAAGAAGAAGATGCGCACTCTGACCTTGAGTCCGAGCAAGAAAGCGAGGATGAGGAGACACAACAGGAGGAAGAGGAGACCAGCGCCCAACCGAGTCTGAGCAAAGAGGAGCTGAAGGCCCAGCAGGAGGCCGCGAAGGCAGAGCTCCCGTACACATTCACTGGTAACTACACACAACAACCATAAATAAAATGTCAACGAAAAGTAAAGAAAACTACTTTTATTTCTGTTATTTTCTTTACTTGCATTCTCTATTGGAGTTGATCTCTGCTCGTCATCAGAAATAGACATTTCCGCATTTTGAGTAAATCTGATATCTATATGACCACCATTCTCTGTGTTTGTAGCTCCAGAGAGCCTTAGCGACCTGAAGGATCTGCTGCAGGGTCACACCCCCGACAACCAGCGCATCATCGTGGCCAGGACTCAGAAAAGCAACCATGCTAGTCTGGCTGTAGGCAATAAGCTCAAACTGCAGGTACGCTATAGTAGGCTGCATATTCTCTTCTGTATTGTGCTGTCTCTTTTGCCAGTTTTAGGGTGCGTCTGGTGCAGTATGAACTCTAAATATTATCCGTTTGTCTCAGAAACTGTTAGGCTTCCTGTTGGAGTACGTTGAAGATCTGGCCACCAGGAGTCCCCCTGAACTCACCACCATTGATAAGCTCATACCGTGAGTTCAAAAAGTGGCTTTCCTTCCTATGCTTTACCTCCTGCTTCAAATGTTTTTTGTCCTAGAAATGAAACACACCTGATCATTCCTTCTTGTTCTCTCTCTCTCTCTCCGTGTAGAGAGTTGTACACTTTGTGTCAGATGTTTCCGGAAGCAGCCTGTAAGACAATGCAAAGCATCCTGGGAGACGCTGGACACAGCACGGAGGAGGTGCTCGAGGTCAAAGGGCATCTTCCTTTCCCAACACTAGACATGGTATGCACTGCAGTGAATAGTGAAAACATGTTGAATGTTCAACAGGGTGGAAGTAGATTTGAGATGTTTATATGTTAGTTGACATTCTGGCATGTGAGGGGGTTACAATAAAGTCAAAATTAAAATGTAGTGACATTTGAATTTACATATACAATACTATTTTATCTTTGCTGGATGTGTTATTCTAGTGTTTCTTCCTCAATTGTATTTTTCTTGAGAAAACACCCTTTTGATATCAGATGAAATGTTGCCTTTGCTATTGTTGTTAAATGGAAAAGGTTCTTCCTCAGTTTATGACAAATGCAGCTTCAGGATGTTTTGTTTTTGTGTTTCAGATCGTTTACCTGAAGTTGACAGCCCTTCTGTTTCCTACGTCAGACTTCAGACACCCGGTCACCACTCCTGCACTGCTGTACATCAGCCAGGCTCTCACCAAGGTACACAAAGTCTTCTTTTGTTATTGTCTGTATATTCAAAGCTTGTTTTTAAATGTTTTCACTGTACCGGCTTCTAGGGAGATTTCACCATACCCCATTCTGTTTCAATTCAGCCTTCCTGCTATCACTAGTCATTTTTGTGTGGATTTTCTCACAAAAATGAAGTTTTCAAAAGCACATAAAGCTCCACTGTTGTTTTCCTATCTTTTAAAATATTGCATGGTAATTATGTTTGATTGTAAAAAATGGATGTCTGTTTTTTTTTTTAGCAATTTAGCCATAATTTGTTTCTGTGTGTATTTTGCGTGTCTTCAGTGTCCAGTGAGATCCCTACAGGACGTGACGTCAGGGTTAGTGCTGTGCTGTCTGGCGGTGGAGTACGTCTCCTTTTCAAAGCGCTTCCTGCCTGAGCTCATCAACTTCCTGTCTGGAACGCTACATCTGGCTGTACAGGACAAGACCTCTCTAGGTACACGCACTATCATGTTTAACGGCACATTTAATTTGTTCTGCTTACTAATCAAAGGAAGTTGATTTCATAAATAAAGACACTCGCCAAATCCAAAAAGGACTTACGTTTAACCACTCATTTAAATACTACTCAATTAGTAGGGGACTCCGCTCTCATGCCCTTTGACCTCTGTCATGCAGGTTACATCGTGGTGCTGCCCTTCAGGCCTTCAGGGAGGTGCAGTGATCTGCTGGTGGTGTCAGACTCTGAGTCCTGCAAGAGCTGGAGCCTGAAGAGCCTTCCACTGTCTGCGGCCCAACACCTGGAGCTGAAAAATAACCTGGACAAAGACCACCACAGGTAGGAGGGGACGGACAAGAAATGTATTTTACAGTATTCTACAAAATGTTATATATAATATAGTAATTACTAATCTTCCGTCGTTGTATAGAATTAATGAAGTAGGCTAACTGTACTCTTGAAACACTATTTTAATTTAAGGATAGGTTTTTAGAAATGTTTTCCAAGTTTATCCTACAACATATCAAGGGAAAATGTTTGGGGCGGACGGGTTGGTGGCAGGGGCGGACTGGCCATTGGGAATACCGGGAGTTCTCATTCATAACACTCCGTTCGATGTCTCACTATGGGATGCGCCTCAACGCGTATGCAAACAGAAGCATCAATCTCATTACGCCAATCCTGATTGGCTGGTGATCTTGACGTCTACGTCAGGGAATCCACCAACCCTTTAAGTAGCTTGCGCTACGTTGCAGCGTCATTCAAAATAATCACCTCTTCTCGCTTCGCCTTAGCAAGAAGGGCCGTCTGGTGAGACATCTCACTTCATGTTACTCTGAGAACTGGGGTTACGTAAGTAACCTATAGTTCTC